AAATTAACGAGTTAACATCTCAGTACTTCACTGCTATTCAATAAATATTGAATTGTACTTGACGTAAAGATCTTGTATTGAAATGTCATATACTATATATGTGGAATCGCTGCTGCTGATTGTAAACAATGAAATTTTATTTCCTTAATTAAAGTACACAATACTGTTTAACTTAAAACTAAAAAAAAAACTGCAAAACAAAGTTTTGTATTATTCAATAAAATTGGTTGGAAATTGTATATGTGATTCGCGTAGGATTATTATTACCACATTGACCCAGTTCCTTACATGTGCTGATGTCATCACAAATAATCGCACACCATAACAAATCAATTCAGTATGAAATCTGGAAAACGTACAAACCAACGTTTATCGCGATAAACGTGATTGCGAATTAATAAGATCTTTTAAAACCAATAAAGATTTATGCCAAAATAAAATTGTTATGTGGGTTAAAGTGCATAGGAGATGGAGCGACCAACCGAGGTTATGAGGTCAATAAAAGTAAAGCATAAAATGACTGTCGACAACAAAAGCAACATCCACAATTACAACAATAAATAACTAAAGAAGCTACAATGAGAATGAGGCCAAGTAACTACGTTGGATAAAACTTTTAATCACCAAACAAAACACTGACAGCACACAACTGCTAGGATGGGTCGTTACTAAGTAGATAGTTGGGCGTAGATGTTGGTTTAATATATAACACTGTTAATGCCACCCAATAGTGCTCTCTTTGAGAGCAGGTGGTTGTATTCAGTCGCTTGACTCATCCAACGGAGGTGGGTGCTGTGTAGTCGCTTGTTGACACAATAAAAACAAAAAAACGTTAAATACTGGAGTACAGTGACTCATTGTTAAAGTAGGGTAACACGCGAGTTAATATTCTACTGACATTTGTGGAATACTAGTTATAAAAAAAATGAAATTAGAGTATGACTGACTGACTGAAGGCAAAAAAAGTTGGTTGGGCGTATGAGTCTTATTGCCAGTGGCAGTCAAGTGAAAGTGATGACGCAGCGTAATGTTAGCAGCAACGTTTTGCGAGTGCCATTGCTAACAAAGTCAGAGTGAAAAATGGGTTGTGGGAGGTAATACTTTGTCGGTTATAGTCGTTTGCATTTTACAACGAATTAATGACGTTTAATTTGGCTTAATGATGTCAGTTACTATTTCATTACGCTTACTTAGTATATAGAAAAGCAAAAATAACAATGAACAAATAAGGAGTGAGCACTTGAATTTTGTGCCAAGTGAACGTTGTATAAAAGTCTATACTTGTTAATGGTTCTATAAAGGTTTAAGGACACATTGAATACTCAATTAAACTTGCAATAATTGTGTGTGAATGTTTGATTTTTATTATTTTTTTAAAAAGAAAGTAATATAAATGTAATAGGCATAATCAGTCGGCAATTCAACATGTCATTATAATTCTTTTTCTGAAATGTGTTTATTTTGTTATGGGACACCAATAACAATGCTCAATTACAGAGGTATATATTCTCTGAATTAATGAACAATAATTTTTTGGTATTGAATTTTAAAATTATAGAAATAATTGTATAAAACTTTATTTAAAACTAGTTATTTCATTTAAAAATTGAGAAACTTAAATTAAAAAAAACTTTAATTGTGAAGTTTTTAAAAATTACGATGGAATTGCCTCTGAAATAATTAACAAACAATACGCTGAAAATTTCTTGTTAAGTATTTACAATATGTTTATATTATATAAAATTTAAAGTTATAGATAAAAATCTATTAAAGCTGAATATGATTTCACTATGAGCTAGGCCGTGTAGATGCCACTTAAAGTTTTGTAGTTATTTATTTATTTTAAAGACATTGTTCTATCATAATAACAGAATTTTATTAAGTATAAATTTTTCTATATCCGTATAGATATGAAGAAGACTAGACAAATAGACTATGCTATTAAAACTATAACTTTTCGGTATGTTAAAAAACAAAAATTAATACCAGAATAAACACAAAATTAAAAAAAATGTTAACTACATGAAGCAAATAATTGGTTACAGATAATGCGATCAATTAAATCCGTGCTACTTTCTTTGTTAACTATAAGGCTTTTGTTAAAAAATCAACTATAAAACTTTGATGAAATTTTGCAAAGTTTTTATTAATTGATGACGAAAGTTATAATGGTTTATTTTATAATGTCTTAAAAATTTATTGAATAGATCCAAGATTACTATTACCACACGTAGTCATAATTATCAAGTTTAATATTGAAATGAAGAACATTTCGCTAATCTATGTATTTTTGTTAAACAGTTATTGTAATTAAGTTTAATCTAACATGTAGGAACAGTATTTTTAAAGTGCTCCTACCTGTTAAAGGAAATAGGTGGGTAATATCAATATTATTCATCAGTTTCTGAATTTCAACTATGATGTTTATGATATCAAATCTCGTAAGAATAGCTAGCAAATTATCTGACGTGCCGCTTTGGCGTTCATTATAATCTCAACAAAATGGGTTCATTGAGGTTGTTGGTAGTCTATACGCCTTTATTCGCTCTGTCTTTCTTCAATATTACAAAATCCTTAAAGAGAGATATTTTGCCCTTTATTACAATGCTGATTGCCAGGAGGAAAGTTTTAGGCAATATCTATTCTTAATTGTTATTAAAAAATCTTTAACATAAAATATTCTGGTCTACATTCAGTGTATTTATGTTATAAAATCTTCAACATAAGATATTGTGGTCTACATTTAATGTGTATATATTATAAAATCCTCAACATAAGATATTCTGGTCTACATTCCAAGTATACGAAAGATTTACTATGATGACAGAGATCTGCACCATTATAAATTCAGAACGTCATTAACTTTTATCTGCCTAAAACTAACTACACTTCAAAAATTTTTATTTTCTTTGATTTGCATAGGAGCTTAAATTTATATACACTTTGATGTACATTTGTAAAAGAATCACTGAGATATTAAATTCTATATTAAAAATTTGCTTACGCTATATTATATATTATTAATGATTTAATTTATATAATATGCTTATTTTTGGACTCGAGAAATAAAGGCAGATTTTTACTCTACGTGCAAATTTTATCTTCAAATTTTAATAAAAATTTTCTGATAAGAACTCATTAATTCTTATTTGCTGTAATATTAAGTGATCGTTTTCTATAATTTATTGTTTTAATTATTTATTTTATTTATATATTTTTGAACAGGCTAATTGGTTAATGTTAAATAATACACCATATTTTAAATTAGTTTTAAAAATATAGTTTCCTGATGCTGATATTTTGACTATAGTCTATAGTCCCTGAAGACGAATTAAGCATTTTTCCTTAATAGTAGGTAAAGTTTTCAAAGATAAAAAATAAACTAAAAAACCTCTTTATGAAATATAACAAGTTTGGTATTAAAAATAATAGTCACTTTCGTCTGGAATATTTGACGTTTAATTACAACTTATATTCACAAAATATTGGTCTCGCCCGTGCGACTAGTGGAGTAACATTAGTATGACTTTCTCAGCATTACGTTCCTAGATTAGGTTCTATACATAAGAAAGAACAAATCATACAACAAATAATGCCTCTACGATCAGAATAGTATTGAAATTTAACAATTGAAAATAAAATTATAATTAATTAATTAATTCAATTATTCTACAGCTGGTTTATGATTTCGTTCTAATATAAACACAGCAAGTAAAATTGTTAATAAAAACTTTTACAGCAAATTAACAAAACTCCAGAAAAATATCCGAACAAAAAAGTCAAGTACGGCTTTTGGATCAGTTGGTTAAGGTGCGCTGACTCCGAGTGTCAAATTTGGCAGGAGACGAGTTCGATTCCTGGTACTTGTAATCTCAAAAAACTATTTACGAATAATTAAATACAAGAATTATTTCCAAGATCACTGATCATTGGTATTTGACAATACTCGAAACAGCTGTATGGTTAGCCAAAAATTTAATTAATTAAAATAATTATATTTTATTATTATATTTTTGTTCACTATTTGTCGAGAACCTTTTTATTAATAGGCTTCTTAAATAAAATAAACGATATTTATTTTATGTTTCTGTTATCTTACATTTTAACTAATACTGCACACATTTAAATAATACATTTTAAAAGATTTTTGTTTAATAAAATAAACGGCGTGCCTTTTATTTTTATTAAGACGATTGTTAAAATTTGTTTTAAGTTTGTAAATTAAATTTATTAATTATGTAAATGAATTTTTGATATAATACAGGTTGCTTCGACAACCCTGTAGTGAATAGTCATTTAATAACACTCAAACGCTACGCTGACCCTTTTTAACGAATGAAAAGTTTAAAATGCGTAAACTTTCCCCTAAATTTATACCAGAAATAAACTTTGTTCATAAAAGATTTATGTATTGATAGTATCAGTAAATTAACTAAAGTTCTTATAAATTTTCCGTGCCTAAATAAAAAAAATGATATATAAAATCATCAAAACCCTCGGAAAACGATACACATTTGTTGCTTATCCTAAATGGTAAGTAGCCAAAAGATTAGAGAAAGATAGTATTGATAAATTCTCTTGAACATCTTAATGTCCGCAACGTGCCTTAAGTTGTTTCTCAAACTGCTCTTAGGCTCTACTGGTAACGCTTTCCCTTGTTATCAACACATATCATGTTATGTGAATGTTTGCCTCAACTCATATAATGATTATGCTTTATATCCTAGTAATAAAAATATAAACATTTCCGAGTTGAAGGAAATGGAAACAGAAATGGCGCATGGCATTTTATAAATTATCCGTTATTTATGTTTGTGTATTTGGTGTGTATGTGTGTATGTGTAAGTGTTAATGTGTCAGTATGTGTGTTCATATTTAACCTGTAAACAACGTAGACTGTCAGTAATACAAACAAGGATACTCAAATATGTCGTTTTATCAATCCTCAAGTTCTCCGCGCTGTCTGCTATTGCGGTGTGTCTTTGTGTTGTGCTATAAAAATGAAAAAGGAAACACAAAAAGGACTATCAAGGTAAGGCATCCTTTGTAGATTCGCATTGAAAGGAAGCACAAAAAAAATATTATTCGTGCTGCGTTGGGCATGTGTGAATGTGTTAATGAAAAGGTCGCGTTGATGAATGAAGTGCCTCCGTTTATTATGACTATGATAAGCTTTTTCCTTTTTTCTTGCTTGTTATATTTTAATTGTATTTAGAGGTTTTTGTGTGGAAATAAGAAATAGAATTTCTGGTAATTTATTTATTTTTAATGAATTGAAACTAACGTGGATGGGCTTTTCATTCTCGTAGTATTTCATAATATCTTTACTCTTTGTAATTCATAATTCAACTGCGGAAATTTTTATAATATAAGGGGTAAATATATTTTAATTTATTTTTTTTAAAAAACTTTTATTTTTTATTCTATTTTGCTTGTTTTTTTTTTTATACACTTAAAATTTTTTTGAACCAAGACTAAGCTAGAAGACTTTATATTCCATGTAAAATATAATTGATAATTGTGACGAGACAAATAACTTTAGCGATGCCAGTCTGTCAATCTGTTTATGTTACTATATATTAGCAATTTATTCATTAAATTTATTCATTATTAAATTGAAACTTCCTAGGGATTTTTTGCACTGCACTTATGTAAATATTTATTTATTTATTTATTACACTTATTTATTATTTTTGGTTAAAAGTTTTAAAATTTATTTATTAAACATTTTATAAAATTTTCACTCGAAATTCTGGTAAATACCAAGATTCGCTGCCATAGCAACATACTATTTCTTTTAATTTACCATCAATTTACTCGAACTCGAACATGATCTAAATAAGATTCTGGTGATATCGATTGCCAAAGTTCTTACACAATTGAAGTGTCGGAAATAAAATTATTACTATACATGTAATCATTAAAGCTCAAATAAAAATAAAAATTAAAATGATATTTCTGAAAGAAGTATTAAATAAATAATGAATAATAAAAATAAATTAAATAAATTTTTATGTTTGTCCTTTCTTTGATAATGAATAATTTAAAATGGTTCGAATAGAAATGAAAAGACAATAACAAAAATTTTAATTAATTTATTGAAGTTTGACTGATCATACAACACTGTTTCGAGTATGACCAAGTACTCATCATCAGTGATCTTAGGAAATCTTAGTCCGTATATAATTTGTTTGGACTGCAGGTGTTATGCTTAGAAGTCGTGTCTGTAAAATTAGAAGCGAACGTATGTTTTAACAAGTAGCCAAGAGTATACAAACATTTAATGCTTAAGTTCCAAGTTTTTTGTCATTTTTTTATTTCTAAGTCACACTAACCATAGCACTTGATGTGCTTTAAATTAAAACGAGCTTATAAATTACAGCTTTATTTGGAAACACAAATTTAACGAATTGAAAGTTAATTCTTGAAATTGTCTATTTTTTATTTCAAAGTTATTCGTTCTGCAGAGACATCTTTTATGCATATTTTGACTTACTATATGTAAAATAAAAATACTTACTTTCAGGGTTTCATTTCTATTCGAACCTTTCTAACTTTTAAAAAGTTTCTGTTCGTAATAAGACGCGTCCCTTCGATGAAAAAAAATTAACAACAAATTATTAATTTTATTTATATATATATGTAACTTATTAAGGTTTAGGTAAAGGCAAAGTTAAATTTTTTTGTTTTTCTTTTCTATAATTTAATTAAATTTATTACATCACTCCTATTCGGTCATAGTAATAATGAAAGAATAAAAATTGAAATAACAACATTGCTTTGTTGGAAGTAAAAACTTCATTAGTATCTATTTAGTAAAAGAAAATAAAAATTTATTGAAATATTATAAAATAGGGAGAATAGGAAAAAGTTTTTTTGAAGAGCAATGAAATTTCCAGTTGTGACTTATCACAGTTTTTGCAAGTCCAAAATACCTAAGAAGACTTACACAAATCTAATCTAATCTAATGTCAGTTAAAAGTATTCCATCTTATACACAATTTTATTATACAATAAGTTTTCACAGTCTGTGACGGGGATGATACAATATGCAATTGATACAATATTTAAAAAGTTTACCATCTATATGCGATATTCGAAACTTATACTTGCTTAAGAATATATATTTGAATAACAAATGTTTGCTGTTTGTGTTTTATCTATGTATGTAGTCGATGTTGGTCAATTTTAAATTAATTTTAACAAAAAAATTTTAATATTCTTCATTATGGATAGAGTAGATATTAGGCAAAAGGTGACATAGAATACATATTGTCTATGGAATATTTTATTTTTAGTTTCTTAAAAAACGTAATACAATACTTATGTTTGTCGTTATTATACACAAGTTTAACTAACAAAAATTATGTCAAATTTCATCTTATCTACACATTGGACAAGAAAGACTTGTTCAGAAACTAAATCATTATATATTTTGCACAATTACTCAACTCTTATAAAAACCAGTGATACTAACCAGGGAATAATAATATTAATAATCTTCTGCACACTCGCATTATCATCCTTTGAGTACAGTAAAAAAATTTTTTTTTGCAAAAATTAACATTAACATTGACTTCAATGTATTGCAATCTATAGTTAAAAAATTCTTTACTTACAGAGCTAGTCAAATTAGTTTGTTAGTTTGACAAGCTGATGAATTATCTATATGAAATCAAGTAATTAAGGGAACATCTTTCTATGTCCGTAATTGGGTGCTTTATACGCAGAATCACAGACATGAGTTTCTAAATAGGTCATTCTCATTTTTATTAACTCAGGGTAGTGACACAATAGCAGTGGTAGTCCCTCATATTTTAATATATAGCTGGGATTAAAATTGTTTTTAAAATTTTAGATCATATTGAATATATTTTTTTTGGTTTTATATTAATAATGATAGAAATTGTTAATGGGTTTTGGAGTTGACAGCTTTTCTAGACCGCATTGGTTAAACGCTTATATTTTTAAAAATTGAGTTTATAAGCAAATTAAATTTATAACCTAATTTAATATGATTGGTAATTGTTTAAATTATCACATTTAAAATTGTTTTTTAATAAATAAATTTATCGACATTGCTTTTATTTTCAGACACATTTAAATGTGATAAATCCAAGTAAAATAAGGAAATAAAATATTTGTATTATCCACTTATAGTATATTACAGTTGTAGCATTATATATTATAGTTATTTTATATTGTAATATACTAGAATCTTAACCATGTGATAAATAGTAATTTATTGTAATATTACTTTTGTTATTTTGTTTTAATATTATAAAATCCTCCAAAATAATTATAAAATAAATAGGAACTATGAAAATAAAATTAAGGACGAAAGTAAAAAATTTTGTGGACGGATTATTGAGCTAAAGTTTCTTCGCCTCGTGTGGATTATAAAGTTTAGATTTAGATTTAGATTAGATTATTGTGTAGATTATTAAGTGTCGGAATTATAGAGAACATACTTGTACTGTATTAGATTTTCTACTATTTTATACGTCACAAAAAATAATTGTAGTAATACACTTTTCAAACTACAATATCGTATTTCATATATAAAAGTGAGTTTAAACAAGCTAATCAAATGAATTTAATTAATTGATTAAAGAGAGCAATTCTTTTCTTGACTCTGAAGTAAAAGTTAATAAAGCACACTTGTAATTTATACTACAGAATTATCCATTTTATAGTAAGACTTCAAAAGTTTGACACATTTAGAGTAGTTGTTAAACGATTCATATTATAATCGTCCTGTTACCCTA